AGTAAAATTCCACAAGTGGGATCTCTAGAATCGAGTGAATAATGCCATTATAAAACTTCTCCAAAAAATTTAAATTATTTATCAATGATGTTTTCACCATTGATGTATATCAAACAACACAAAAAAGGAGGCAATTAATAAGGAGGAGCATAAGATAAGGATTTCCAACGAAGAAAACAAAGCTTGTTCAGTAACCATATGAAAACTCCGAGACAGTTACCTTGCCACATCCTTCCACTGGACACACGAAAGCTCTCTCCCCAGTATGAGTAAGGAAGTGTCGCTTAAGCTTTGAACTATCTAAAAATTTCTGCAAGTTAAGCTCAAGGTTCAGTATGAAAACCGACAAAATTAATGTGACCCCCTCCACCCAAAATACTCACCAAACTGATCTAGCAACCAAACAAAAACAGCAGAACATGAAGAGTGTTGTAGGAAAGTCAGAAGAGATTAAGAAGAGTATCTAACTTGTTTTTATTTAGAAATAAAAACATTAAGTTATTCAAAAAAACATCATCCTCGCAATATGGATTTTCTAAGGGAAACGGTACCAGCTAACTAGCTATTCACAGTTCATTATAGACTCGGAAATAGTTATAACATAAACTAACGCTAGTGAGACATTAAGCTAAGTCAACTGATCCTCTGAAATATCGGAAGAGATGAGCAAATGAAAACACTGCAGCATGGCTGTAGCAATGGATGGGCAATCCAGACTGCTGCCCACCCCAAGTTTGAGTAGTTCTTTTTTTTAGAACTTTTTGCCCGTGTAACCTTTTTAGTATATAATTTAAATGAACAAATCCGACTCACCCCGAATTTGAATTATGGGTAGCCCACGCTACGACATTGACTGCAGATATACTGAAGAGGTATGATGTATACCTTTCCGCAATTTTCATAGTGACAGATATATTGTCTATCTCCATGGATGTGAGAATGTTTCCTCAAAGCACCAGCATCAATAAATGTCTTTCCACAGCCTTCATAACTGCAGAGGAAGAGAACTTCTGTAGCTGGCTCTAGCTCTGCGTCTGGAACTTCTGTCTCATTCGAGTTCTCCTTTAAAGCTTTCAGTGTGGCTTCTGATGAAAGAAAATTTTAAAATTTGGCTTACCATTCTATAGCTAAATGGGAAGAGGAAAACTACTAAATGAAATTTGATTTAACCAAGTGCATGAAACACTGCGTGACAAGTGAACCAATAAAGTATGTGATCTTCCATTAGCAACATATTAAAAGCAAAAACGATAAATAGATGTGCACTGGATTTGGGAAAGGTAGAAATCAATCAGAACTAACCATTAACCCATTTTAAAATCAAGCACTTCCCACCTGTTGCTACAACATCTTGTGGCACCCTAACAGAGTAACAGTAAATGTAGTGAGTAGCACAATTCACACAAGAATCCCATGATAAAAAACCATTTAAAAATGGAAAATTAGAAATTGCTTTGGTAATCTGGAACTAATGGAATGAGGAATGCTAGATGTCATAGGAGAATTGTCAAGAAAATGAAATAATAAATGTTCGCTCCAAGGTCGAAGTAACTTTCTTTCTTTGGAAGGAAACAAGGGAAAAGATGAGAACAACACAATGACTAATTTAATAAAAAAATTGGTCTTCAATGTCACAAATGGACTTGGATACAACATGCGGAGTACCAAACTATCATAGAAAACGAGCATAAATGAATAAGTATAGATGATTTAGTAGTCTTCAACATCATAGCGTTCATCAAAACCACAGGTTTTGGGTTCTGCATACGTTTCCTCATTCCACATCCCCCTTCAGTCATCCATTCTTCTCTAGTCTCCTCTGAAATAGGATATTAGGATGGTCTTTGTGTGTGGCTTCTGCTGCAGTTTTGGAGGCATCCCACTTCCTTTGTGTTCACACAGCAGTTCACTCACTCCATGTTATATTGTGTTGCACTTAGCCGCTTCCAAAACCCCAAAGCCCTCATATTGATGAACACTTCAATCCTTAAGCTCCCGAAATCAGTATTTTCAAATTCAATTAAACGGGAGGTCAGCGTTGATTCAAAAACAAACACAACCCTGATGATGTCTAGCTTAGAAAAGTTCAGTCCATATGAAATAACAGCTACGCAAAGTGCAGCTCTGCATAACCCACTTGGTTTTCTCTCTGTCTGCATCCAATCTTGCTTTCAAACTAACAACGATATGAGGTGCAGTTCGGGAAAGTGGGACACATATGGATTTTTTCTCACAATCATCACATAAACGGTTAGTGAACCTATGAATAAATAGGCTAGGATCTTCAGGTCTTTGAACAATTGGGTGCTCTTCAAGGCTTAGAAGTTTGCAGAGCTGTAAGAAGACAGCACCTTAGGTGACTATGCTGAGAGATAAATATGGTCTAGAGGCGGAGGTAGGAAGCTGGAGTCCAGCTAAATTCTAATGAAATCCCCCAAGATGATAATAAACAAAACTCAAGAAACTCGTCTAATCACAGAATAAGAAAAGGAAAAACCAAATCGATTAAGAAATCTATTCTTCCTTTCTTAAATCTGGCTTACCATTCCTTGACCCATTTCGTTGCTGGAGCTCTGGACCTGGTGATGGAGCGTCCGTCGAGGAAGTTGTGGAACGCCTGAGCCTCCATCTAATCACCGACGCCGGACGCCGATCGGCCGATTCTTCTTCTTCTTCTTCTCCCTACAATGCTGGTAACTAGGGTTCTAGATTTCGATTTTCGATTTTCAGGATCGCGTGGTTGAAGAAATTCGGAGCACAACATACTCGTATATGATAGCTGTGCCATTGCAAGAGTATTTCTTTCTTTCTTTAGGATCCGTTTGCCATTGTGTTTGTTCCTTAGCTAAAAAAATTGAAAAAATGGGCTGGACTCATAGAATATATTTTCTATTCCATATGATCCAACAATGAAAATTTGGGATTTGTATCAAATAATTTTGGATGTCACACTCCGAAGAACGTACAAAATTCTTTTATTTTTAAAATTATTTTAATTACAAATTAATATAAAAATAAAAGGTATAAATTATAAAATTTTAAAATACATAGAAAATTCTATAAAACAAGAAGTGACAAGAATATTTTATTTTATTTTGAAAAATTTGTTTCATATATGACTAAAAGGTAAAACGTTTCCTAGAATATGACCAAGTATATTTTATGCATTATTGACACACAATTTCATATGAGCTGTCATATATGTCCCCATTAGCAACAAGGAATTGTTGGATAATGATTGATTATACGAATGAATCTACGAATGTAGTCATTAATGATAAGTGTTGGATAATGACTGATTATTTCAATGACTACATCTATTTCCAAATAAATTAAAGTAAAAATAAAATAGTGTTGTCATCTCTTATTTTGTAGAAATTTTATGTAGTTTTAAAATATATAAGTTTTTAAAATTCTACATCTATTTTCGAATAAACTAAATTACAAATAAATTTGATCAACTGTAATTTACATTATCTTACTTAAATGGCAACAAAGAGATTATCTATTTTTTTTAATTTACATTTAATGTAAATAATTACGGAGTATTTGTTACTAAAAATAAACGCCATGCGCTTTTTTTTTAAAGAAATTCTCTCCCGTACCTGAAAACTCTTTCTGTTTGGATTTTCTTGGTCAAATAGTAATATTTTTTGAATACAAATCAAACATAATTTAAATAAAGAAATGCTATAAAAATTTGATATATCAAAACTATGCCTTAAGATGAACTCAATTATATTAAATTTATAATTTAATTCAATATACTTTTTCATAATTTGAAGTCAAAGAGTGTCAATATTTTACCAAAAAAATCCAAACAGAAAAAGTAATCTAAGAACCGAGGGAGTAGTTTAAATTAATTAAAGAGAAGCAAGAATCATGAATTGGAATAACACTATATATTCACTGCCCTCCAAATGAAGTTACAAACTTGATGCAGTAACTTTAACCTCTAAAAGTTCTTCCATATGCATTGGTGATAATGATGAGGAAAACAATATTTATGTTTTTTTGGCATTAATTAATGGCTGATGCTATAATATTGATTAATTTGAGGCACATACAATATTTTATTGAGTTTACAAGTGGTTCTTATATGCCCCTATTAGTAATTTAGTGCATCCGATCAATAGTGATCAAACGGTATAAAATAAATCAGAAAAAAATGATGACACCTCATTCCCGGGGGGCCCTCAGCACCGCTTAGTTAGCTGAGAGAGGAAGTAATTAAGCTATAATCTCAGTCAATTAGCATAAGGGTGAGTTCTCGTGTCAAGTACTTGCAGAAATCTCATGTTTTGCATGGTTGTCTCTCATCGTAGCCGCCACCAGACTTCGAACTCGAGATCTCTCCCTTATAGCACTTCTATGTTAACCGCTGAGCTACGCCTCACCGGCGTATAAAATGAATAATCAAGAAAGTTAAGGATACGGTCCAATAAATGTAATACTTTGAAGTACGTACATAAATAATAAAAAATACAATGTCAATTACCTGAATTAGCTAACATGCTATTAATCTTGTTTAGTTAGTTAAGGTAAAAAGAACTAACCATCTATCTAATCTTGTCATTAACTCCTCTAACTTAATTACTCCAGTCTGGCATGAGCTTTGTATTTGTCCCACTATATTACCGAGTACCAAAGTGCACCTGATTTATGCTTGGTAATACCTTTTATGCATGTTAAAGAAATTTCTTGTTACGAAATGGCAAGAAAAATATTGTCACCCCTTCTAATTAATAATATTTTCGTACTATTTAGTGTAGATATATATTACGCTTAATCTTGTTAAATAAAGATAATAAATACAATATCGTTGTATTCTCAAATACTAATGATATATGAACAATGGCATTACAGGCTAGATAATGAAGAGAAGGAATAAAAATTTAAATACTTTTATTAACTAAAAATGTTTATATTAATTTACTCCATGGTATAAAATATTTTTATTATGCTTTTCTATAAAATATACTTCGTAACAATGAATGATATTTTGAAGTTTTCTTCAAGGAAAGATCGAAAACAACAACTTAAACGTTTTAATGTAAAATGTGAGGACTATCTTAGTGATCCAGTATGACACCTAAAACCGGGACCAAACCACGGGTATTATAAATTAAATATAATTAATTAAACACCTTTATTTTATTTCCTTTTTCCCTATAATTTTCTTTCCCCCCTATATATGTATGCATGTTTTGGTTGTGGTAGTCTTTTATTTTCTAATAAATCCCCAAAGCTCAAGAATTCATCATCACCATCAGTTATTATTATCAGATAATTAAATGGGATTAAACCCAGATTTCTTCTCATTCCATGGGAGCTCAAAGTCTGGGTTTTTCTTGATCCTATTGCTATCACTCATGTGTTTTTTACTGTGAGTATACAATTAGTGTTATATTATAAAGAAGCTAAGATCAATTTAATCAGTAATTTTCTGTTTCAACTCATTAGTTAATCACGCTTGACTTTCTTCTCTGCAATTAATTTCGATTTCATGGTGATTTTTGATCAGTGGAAATGCGGATGGGTACGACCCTTTGGATCCCAATGGGAACATAACCATCAAATGGGACATCCTTCAAGAAACCAGTAACACCCAATTCGTATGTTTCTTTCTTTTTCTTTCAATGAGAAACAAACACTTCGTAAATGTTTAATTTGTTTTTCTTCCCTGTTTTATGTACCATTTCATGAATTCCAAACACATAGATTTGTTTTTTGACAGTCCAATGCAAATATAAGTATATTCTCCCATAAAACTAGTTTTAAATGCATTAACCTCTCAAGAATTGTTGATTTGTTGTAGGTCAAAATAACTTTGTTAAACTACCAATTATTCCGGCACATAGACCGTCCGGGGTGGAAGCTGAGCTGGGGATGGGCAGGTGATGAGGTGATCTGGGAAATGTGGGGAGCTGAGGCCACAGAGCAGGGGAACTGCTCCGCGTATAAGTCCGGGCAGCTGCCCCATTGTTGTGAGAAGGTACCGGTTATTGTCGACCTTCTGCCCGGAGCCCCTTACACCAAGCAGGTCCTGAATTGTTGCAAGGGAGGTGTCCTTTCTTCATTGACTCAAGACCCCGAAAAGTACGGGGCCACCTTTCAGATGAGCGTGGGGCGCGTCGGTAATTCTAAGGGTTCATTACCAATGCCGGGAAACTTCTCTATTGGGGTCCCTGGATATACGTGTGGGGACCCCTTTGAGGTGCCTCCCAGCAAGTTCGTTGAGGATCAAGGGCGCCGTAGGACACAGGCTCTTGGTAAGGAACTGACCCAAATGTCTTATAGTCCAGTTCAATGACTCGCGCCGCGCCAGATGTTAAATTTTATGGTTAAGATTGTCCTCTTTGTGTTGCAGGAACGTGGAACGTCACGTGTTCTTACTCCCAGTTTAGAGCTCAAACATCTCCAACTTGCTGTGTTTCTTTGTCTGCATTCTACAACAAAACCATAGTCCCCTGCCCAACCTGTACTTGTGGCTGCCAGGGGCTGCCCACATCCTCAAAATGCTTAAAGTAGTATTCCACTTTTAGCAAACAAAATCTAATTCTTCCCAATTAAAAGTTCAAGTTGATACATTTATGTGTTTTCTTTCGATCTGATGTGAATGCAGAGTTGGGGAAAAGACACCGGTGTTTCATGACTTGGACCAAGAAGTGGCACTAGACCCAGTGGTTTTGTGCACCGATCACATGTGCCCGATAAGGGTTCACTGGCATATAAAACAAAGTTACACTCAGTACTGGAGAGTGAAGATCACGGTCACGAATTTCAACTTCGTGAAGAACTTTAGCCAGTGGAACTTGGTGGTCCTTCATCCAAACCTGAGAAATGTCACCCAGGTTTTCAGCTTCAACTACATGCCTCTTAACCTGTACGGCGATATAAGTAAGCCAAAGCCAAGACTTTCACCTTTCATTTCGCCATTGAATCATCATCGTCTTCATCATCTTGATGGGCGTGCATGCAGATGACACTGGAGTGTTCTACGGGATCCAGCATTACAACGACGTGTTGCTTCAACAGGGCAAGAGCGGGAATGTGCAGACAGAGTTGTTGCTGAACAAAGACAGAACGATGTTTACATTCAGGGAAGGATGGGCTTTTCCAAGGAGGGTTTCGTTTAACGGCGAAGATTGTGTGTTGCCACAACCTGATGACTACCCAGGACTCCCAGATTCTGGGATACTACTAGGGGCACCCACAAATCTTTGGGTGCTGGTTCTTGTGATTTCTACTTGTTACTTGTACTACTGCATAGGAATCATACCTTTCTTCTAGCTTTTTAAATTTGTTCAGGTTCTTGATTCATTTCTAGTTATGTTAATTGTTACTGCGATGTAGATGAAATGTGGGTGCTTGGTAGAGCTTCTTTGGGAGTCAGTAGTTTATTTAAGCTCCAAATAAGGGATCACTTCTTATTTGGTATTTTCTGATAACAAAACAAAATGGGGTTTTGATATCTCTCTATCAATAACAACCAAATGAAATCTCTCAAAATGCTTTTATTTCAAGATTCAATATTGCTGTGCTAAAACCACATATCACAAAGTAATTTTTAGGTGAACCATAAAATTTTTAGGCATTAAATCTAAGAAAAATGCAATTCTTCGCATTGAACCGGGCAAAAAGAAGAGAAAGAGGACATTTAATTTAATCATCATCAAACACTCCTTCAAGAGCTTTGTGAACCACAAAGGTCATAGAGAAATACAAAGTGTTTTTTGCAATCATAACTTCGAACTTACACAAGTGGAAGAAGAACATGACAAAGAAGAAGAAGAAGAATAAATGCTCGAAACAATCACCCCAGGCCAGCAATTGCCAGAAAACATTATATTTCCTGGCACACCAATCACCAGCCAGGTGCACATTAAACATCTCAAAAGGGAAAAATGAAAAAAAAGAAAGAACGAAAGTATGAAATAAGCTTAAATAATGACGCGACACTCTGATTATAGTTTCAGGCCATACTGGCTGAAGGAAAAGTCAGCAGATTATGATAAAAGCGGAAGCTTTGGCTCAATGAACGGAATGGAGGTCAGGTTTGGAGTTGGCCAGAGATGGGGGGTTCGTGATCAGAGGAAGCGGCTTCCTTGTTTTTCAAAGAAAGGTTTGAAAATTGTTGATCGAGACGATCTCTACTTGTGGTTCGCCTATGACCAGTAGATGCCTGCTGCTGGTTTGTTTTGTTTTGTTGCTGCTGCTGCTGATACAAGGAGCGCAGTCTCCCTCTTTCCCTCTCTAATACTTCTTGCTCAACTGCACACAAACCAGTTACACCAGGTTCATACTTGTCAGTTATCAGCTATATATTTTCAACAACAAACACTAAGAAAGTATTCAATAAAGAAAATACGATGATTTGTCTAAAATATCAAAAAGATGGAGTAAGAGCATTGTTGACATGAATGATTCACTCATTTGAAGGACTTAGTTGACATTTTAAACTCATTTCTTGATGATGGACTTAGTTGTCTACTTTCTGCATAGAATGAAGAAAGTATGATGAATTTGTCTAAAACATCCTAAATATGGAGTGACAAACTCATTTGAAGGACTTAGTTGACATTTAGTGGAACTAATTAAGAGTAACTTACAATACTTTATAAGTTGTTCTTGAGCTAAACTTTCTAGTCGCTGCTTTAGAGCTTTATTCTCCATGTTCATAATCAGATTTCGCTGGTTGAGGAATTCGAGCTCAGCCGAAACCTCACAACCTTCAGCCTGCGCGAACAATCCATACAAAAACAGTTACATTAACATCGACTTAACCAAATGATTTAGAAACATCCGCATAAGCTGAATTTGAATTTTGTACATGCCTGTAGAGCTTGGACATTTCTTTCCAGCTCAGCAATGTATTGAAGCTTCCGAACTCGTGAACGTTGCGCAAATTGCCTACCAAACACAGCATTTATAATTAGTACTACCTCTTTAGGAATAGTTCAAACCAAATTACGTCCGTAATAATAGAAACGATGAAAACAAAACCATCCAAAAGAACACATAAATATCAATTCTTGTGTTAAGCTTAGCGAGAGGATTAGGATTTAGACATACTGCTTAGCACGCTTTGTGTCTGATTCTGAGGCAGAAGTTTTGGATTCCTTCTTTTCGGCAGAGCTTTTTGAATCCACTGGTCCAGATTCAACCGGGTCCCGCTTCTCGCTTGTCAGAGACTGGGTCCCATCAGCTCCTTGTGGCATTGTTCCCATATGTTGAACCCCAACATTACTTTCTCTTGGAGAAGGAACCACAAGTTTACGTGCAGGAGATGCATCTCTTGCCTGACTATTGTGTCTAGTTGACAGATTAGAATCCGCATAAAAAGCAGCAGCGCGCCAACCATCTCCGGGCTGATTGAACTCGCGGTGGGGCCCCCAAGAATTTTGAAAAGCGTGATCAAAGCTTGAAAGATTGGCAGCATCCAAATACGCAAAAGAGTCACTGGAGGAACGGCGATGAGCTCCCCTTCGCACAGGGGTGTCGGGCTCTTCATTGAGGAGGTCATCGAGCCAGGATGGCTGTTCGTCCATCAGAAAGCTCTCGGACGAAGTGCGCTGGTGGTTGTTTGGCTTCTGGACAGGAATGCCCTTTTGTGTGGCCATTGCAGTATGGACATAGGACGATGGGGTCATGATCGGAAACGGACTTTTAGGTGGCAGTAAAGAGTTCTTCGCATTGTACATCATATTCCTTATGCCACTGGATGACCCTCCCTTTGAGTTTGCCATATGATTAAAAAACACACAAACAACAACAATTCCTGCAACACAACCAAATAACCAAATCAGAAGACAGATTTTAAAAAACAAAAATAAGATACTTGATTTCACCATAAAAAGCAAACACATTATGTTCATACAGCAAGCATCCAATGCTAAAACCATGTCACCAGCACAGATTTTACTAGTTTATCCTTCACAGCTTACAGAAGGCAATCAAAGACTACTCTTTTAAATCTCATCACAGGATTTACAGCTTGTTTTACTGAGATTCAAGCTTCCCATAGCAATCTCTAATTCAGGCTTTTGATTTATTCAACCAACCATGCTAAATTATAAAAAAACAAATCTTGAATCTTGCCCAGAGCTGAATCATTACCAATTCCAACAAATTCTTCCAAGAAAAAACACCCAAACCCATTTCCCCTAGTTCTGAACGGCATTTCTCAGGCAAATTCATTGAAATCGAATTCGCAGGAATTAAAAGAGAGAGAGAGAGAGAGAGAAGCAAACCCATACCTAAACACAAATCGCAGATGATATGCTTCGATTGGAAATGAAAGTCTTGCAATCCGAGGAACGCGACTCCCAATTAGATTAACAACTGAACATAAATTCAACAAAATTAATCAACTATTCAGGCACCGTTCTTCCCCGGGCTCTTCTTCTTCTTCTTCTTTAGTGTGGACTATTCCCAATTGACAGGGAAAGGCCAGAAGGGAGTAGGGACTGACCAACCAAACAACCAACCCGATATGGTTTCTGTATGATTATGTTTTTCGCGATCTGACCCCTGATTTTCTTTGATATCTTGGATTTGCCCGTGCTGTCTTTTTCATTCCTTTCCTAAAGAAGATGAACAGATGATTGGGGGGAGGCCATGAAAGATTAAATATGGATGATATATATGTCCTGCAATTACAGCTCACTATTTACTGTCTCTAATATTTAATTATTATGTTCTTTTTTTTTAAATAAAACAAAAAAAAGAAAGAAAGAAAGAAGAAGAAGAAGATTGAAAAGTCACAATCAATGGGAGGTAAGAATAGCTGGCTCTCATTCTCTCTCACTCTGCACTGCTTCAGAAGCAAGTGGGACACTTTTTTTTTAATCTTTTACAGCTCATTGGGTTTCCGTAGAAAGACTCCATTTTTGGGGGGGTTTTCCGTATCAAAACATCCACTTTTTTCTCTTGAAATGAGAAAAGTCCAAAATTGTTTCTTTTTTTTTTACTGTTTTCGATGATCTTTCTTTCGGTTGACGAGGAAAACTCGGAGATGCTACCTGAGTTTTTGACCAATTCTACGCGGCGGTCCGACAGAGAACGTTGCCGGAAAGCTTTCATGCCGCCTTCTTGATTTTCTTGTGGATATTCTTCTTGATTTGCTTTAAAACCTCTGTGAGACTTTGAGTCTTCCAAGCTTTTTGTAAATGGTGTTTAACGCGTTATTTGACGGTAGACCAGAGCCTCACCAACACAGTTCTTTTTACCTCTTCCCTCTCATGTCTTTATTCTCATTTAATTTTTCACGGTTGTTAATATAAAATTTGGATCATTAATATTTTTATTAATATAAATATAATTGTACTCTCTAAAAATATGATATTTTAAAATAATATTTCAAAATAAATATATTGATATTAAATTTATATTAGATTTCAATATATCTTTTTTATATTTTATGATGAGCGTTTTAAAATGTACACAAGAAAAGTCAAAATGGAAAGAAAAATATGGGACATGGAGAATAGTAAAAAATTTCATTTCATTACGCTCCGTTTTTTTATTTTGCAAAAATTATCAAAAAAATTACTTGTATTTTCCTATATTAAGATGCAATGTGATTGAGATTTATATTCATAAATTGGATGAACTTTCTGATGCGGAGAAGTATTTATTATTTTTCATTAAATTCATCAATGAATATTACATAGTGAGTATAAAACAGTGTTCGATTATATAAATCCCAATTGAACTATTGGATTTCAATTCTAGAATTGAAATTGTGAATTTCTAATTACAAGGAGAATGTCTAGATTTATAATTGAGTGTCTTTTGGTATTTAGAGAAATTTGGCATAAATCCAAATTTTATATATTTCCAAACATGTAATCTGATTTTGAAATCCAAATACTCCGTATAATTTTTCAAACAAGCCGTATAGTCTTCAATATTTCAAAAGTATAATCCTTGCCTACCTGGGTAGTAGCTCAATTGTCCAAGAAAAGGATGTCTAGCTCATTGAGCGAAAGTGTGCATGTTCTATTCTTTGTAATAACTTCTTGTGCGCATTGAGATTATACCATAATTTACCCTCTCACAATCCTGTTGAACCACTGCATGGGGCTTTCCATCTTTTTTTCAAAAGTATGATCCTTTAGAAAAAAAGTAGTGTGAATATTTCAAAGGATCAAAAGTCTTATTAATCACAGAAAATTGCCCGCACATCCCTTGAAAGCATGAGAGCATGGCTCATAGGATTTGGCCTTATTTTCAGATCAAGTTCACCAGACCCATTTCACTATGCATACTTAGACCAGTCTCAATAGACACAAACAGGGTGATAGTTGATACAATGTATTATTACTTAGGTCAAGTCTGGTTCGATGGTCCAGTTTTCACCATGGGTATATTTGGATGGAGGATTTCGGAGGACATACAGCATATGTTTTCAAAAATAGAATTCATAAATAGAATGCTTCTTAATGCATCACAGTTCATGGGAAACAAGTTGCTCCCTCTACCCTACTAAAGAGGAATTTAAAAAAATGAAAAACTAAACGCAAAATTGAAAACAAAAAGGTGCAATTGATATTGAATTTCTTTAATGTCAATAATTATAGTCGATGACAAACGGTTTGAGACACGGAGGGGGTGTCCGAATTCAAATTCTTGCTTGTCACACTTGAGAATGTCCATCCATTAGCAAGCTCAAAATAAACCACAATACACCCGATTATTCTTGAGATCAAGACTTTTTAGCATATATATAGATGAATAAACAGATATTGTTTTCAGGCTCCTCGGATCAGCAGGCTGGATGACTTCCATGTTGCGCCACATTGATTATAGTTCTTGAAAGTTCTTCAGTTTCTTCCCTGCAAATTTGAATGCAAAAGAATAGTTGCAGAAAACGAATGTCAAAGTTCTGATCACAGTTATGCAACATTATGAAAGATTAACTTCTTCCCTGCAAATTTGAGTGCACAATAATGGTTTCAGAAAGTGATCGTCAAGTTCAAATCACAGTAATGTAAGATTGAAAGACAGAAAGACTGACTAGCCAAATGCCAAAATCTATAAAACTATCCATTAACTCATTAACATGGTTGATATGTCATTATTATTTTCCTAACTGTTGGAACCATTCAGGTGTTGGAGTTTAGAATTTCAAAGGCAGAAAGGCAAACAATGATGATGTAATCACTTTGTTTAAGGTGGGAAAAAAACACATAGACCAATGGTGTACTGCTTTGCTTTGAATAAAAGAGCAGAAAATGAAGCCATGGTTTTCACACAAAAAAACACAAAAACGATGATAAATGAATTTTCTAGAGTCAAATAGTATGATGCAAATTATATGTACAACAACATTATCCCCATGACTTCAAACTACCAACCATTGCAGGGTGGGGGGATTCAGATGTATGCCGCCTATGTTTAAAACATAGAGTGGATCTTTCGAATTGACCCGTGATGAGCATCGAAAGTTGTTGACGAATTGTTACTTCACTATAAAAAGCACAAACCATTTAAATGCAAATTAAAAAACTATGTAAAGTACTGCAGTCGACATCTTATTTGACAATAATGCAAAGCATACTCACAAATTCAAAGTATCCTGACAAACCCATAAAAAACAGTGGCACACTATTTCTAAAATTATATTACAAATCATAAAATATAGAAACCCATATGGCCATATCTAACACTATTTCTCATACCGGATAGATGAGGTATCAACCTAACCACACATCATCCCTTCAAGGATGAAGCAATCAATATCTGATAAATCTGGTAACTAAAACCTTTATCAGAGTGATATGCCTATCCATTAGAATACATTGCCCTGCTTCCAGAAAAAACAGTTAAGAGGGAAAACAATATAAAAGATATCATACCGGTTCTGGTTGTGAGAATATTTGGTTCTTCTCACTTGGGTGGTTCTGCCACTGGCTTCTAGCTGGCTCTTGTCCAAAACGTTCGCCTTGGGTGAGCCCATAGTTTTTATTCTCCCCTACAAAGGAAGGTGCAGTAAGTCCATGCCCCTGGCTTCCACTTGGTTCTTGACCAAAGCGTTCACCCTGGATGTGCCCATAGTTTTTATTCTCCCCTCCGAAGGAAGGTGCAGTAGTTCCATGCCACTGGCTTCTAGTTGGTTCTTGTACAAAGTGGTCACCTTGGGTGTGCCCATAGTTTTTATTCTCCCCTACGAAGGCTCCTTGGGGGTGTGGTGGGCCACCTTGATAGCTATTAAATCCACCAGGGCTGTTATACACTGGTGGTGGACCCATTTGATTTCCTGGAGGACCACGACTCTGTTGGAAACCATAACCCTGCTGGGAGGGTGGACTCTGAGGTGAGGCATGACACTGCTGTGGGCCAACATTCTGTTGAGGTGGAAAACTTTGTTGATGACCAAAACCCTGCTGAGAGTGTTGCTGACCATATGTCTGTTGAGGACCCTGCTGTGGGCCAACATTCTGTTGAGGTGGAGAACTTTGTTGATGACCAAAACCCTGCTGGGAGTGTTGCTGACCATATGTCTGTTGAGGACCCTGCTGTGGGCCAACATTCTGTTGAGGTGGAGATCTTTGTTGATGACCAAAACCCTGCTGAGAGTGCTGCTGACCATATGTCTGTTGAGGACCCTGCTGTGGTTGGCCATAGTACGGTTGACGAGGTGGGAGACAACCCTGTGGAGTATTGTAGTGCTGTTGGGGTGGTGGAGGACCCGGCGGTTGCTGGAAGCGCGATTGAGGTGGCGGGCCATGAGTTCTAGTTCTCGAAGGATCATATGATTGATTGCCCCTCTGATTCTGACGTTGTCTCCCATACAGAACAGGTGGAGGTCTCTCTATGATTACTCCATTGGTATACTTGTCTCCTAATATATAGTAGAAGAAAGGTAAGCAAATCCAATTGGGGAAAAAGAACTGCACACCAGGCATATGATAAGTTAATGACCAGTGTTTTTATTATAAACACTCATAGTAATTGAAAGACACAAATACACTGGCAATACAAGTACAACAACAAAAATCCCAGTATAGTTCCAACTTTGTGGAATCTAGGGGGTCACGATGTACACAACTTGACCCCCATAAAATAGAGAGGTCGTCATTAAACCCTTATACATTTACCACCAAAAAAACATCAAAGAAAGCAAGAAGCAAGTTAAGTGTAATGCATCACTTTGATTTAGTCAATTTTTACGCAATGCTAAAATATTGTAAAAAAAAGACTCATTAAGCTCCATTGGAGCTGGACATAACAAATGTGCTGATGGTGTAAAGAGCAATTATTTCTACCTCCATACTCTTTGTTTACTGGATCAATATACGAATCAGGCAGAACAAAGACTACTCCAGGCAGATCTGATAAGATTTTTAAAAACAAATGTCAGTCAGAACAGAAATAAATTTACCATTTTCCACATATAGTAAAAAATTGCCTACCTTTAAACTTATCTGCTGTTTCCTCAGAACATAAGACCTGAAAGCCCTCATAAATTGTTGTGCTTAAGGCATAAATCTTCTGCTTAGCCTCCTTCACACTGCACCCATTTAGGTATACACATTTACAAAATATTTATTTCTAGTTACTAAAACTTGATAGTATTAAGATCAAACAAATCAGTTTATATACTTCATACATAAATATCATAAATTTCACAGTTTGGGCATCCACACAGGTCACAGCATATTTCACGAAACAATCAGTTTGAAATGCATTTACATTAGCAAAGACAGAGATATCCAGATTATGGCAAAACAAAATGGGTGGGAAATGATACAAAAAAAATCATGCTAATTAATCAATGAATCATATGTGATTCCTCATAACTATATCCATGAAATCAAACAACAAAATGTGCAACATATACTAAAACCTGTGACAATAATTTATACTGATACCAGAGTTCAAACTACAGTAGCCCATTCTTGAATATAAAAACTCTGCACTTAGCACAGTATTTGAAGACATCTAAAACGTGCTCTTTCAAATTCAAATGGCTACATTATTACGAATAGTTGGTGCCATAATTTATGGTAACATATGATACAAGTGATACAACCTGAACTAAAAAGATGCATCCTTTATGAATAATAGTATAATAATACTCCATACACCCGCTCCCCAACCTCAGACGGAATGAGGGAGAGACAACAGACCAATTCTAACCCATAATTCCAGTCATTATAGAAGTAATGAGTAGAAATGTGAGATATGAATTTGCTACATAATTAAGCGAATACTAGAAATACTAGAAGCATCCAGTTACAATTAATATCACTCAACTACATTCCCTACGCACATGGACTTCCAATCCACGAAACAAATTCTTTTCAGAAACAATTCATTCATTAGATACTGATAATTGAACCCAGAAAAAAAAAACTCTTTTGGATTAAAAAAAGATGTGTGTAGTGGATAGATAACCTTCCGAAAATTTTAGCGGCCGTTTGAACGTAAGTTTCAATCATTTCCTCTCGAGATGGGCGCGGATCTCTGGGGAAATCCATAGTGATCAGCCAATGATTGTAATCGCACCCTTCAAAAAGGATGGTATTGGGGTCGAGCCCCTCATCGTTCGGATTCTGTTCATTAAATCGAGACCTGGAAGAAAACGAGGCCGCCGATGCTCGGAAGAGCCTGGATTGAGAAACAAATGGAGCGTTCAAGTTGGAAGACCGTGGGTGTGTAACTGGAGTGGGAGGGGCGATTGGGGGTGGGGCAATGAAGCTTGAGTGGTGGAGATGACGATTCAGTAAGGATGGAGAGAGAGATATTGCTCGGCGAAGGCGGAGCGAGGAGAAGGCCATCTCAGCCGCGCCCCAAGTGACTGGAAGAAGAGAGACTGATGGAGGGTTTTGGTTAGGGTTTCTCTGCTCTCTCTCTCTTTAAGCTTGCAAAAAAACGAATGCTAAATTGGAACCCCCAGGGCCCCAACCATTTTTTGTGCATCTTTTCACAATTTTTTTTATTTTTAAATTTTTAATTAAAACAAACTTTATACTATTTTCGTTCTAAAATTATTTTCTTAGTTACTATCCATACGGTCAAACGTAAATCACTTTTTTTCAGTTAAGTCTTCAGTAAAGCTCACCAACTATTTTTTTTAGTTGACTTGTGTCTCTTAGGACAATTTAAAAAATGCGAGATAGAGACTAATCATGCATCATTTTTAAAGTATAGATACTCATAGTGCAGCTCTAAAAGTCCAGTAGAAAAATACAGTTACTTGACTTAGATCATGTTCTTTAGAATTGGAAAAAAGGGCTGGATGTTAGAAGAAACTGGAAAGAACTAGACTGCAAAAAACTGGAATGAACTGGAAGAACTGAAAGAAACGAGAAGGAACTAAAAGAAATTAGAAGAACTGAAAGACACTGCAATAAACTAGAAGAAACTGGAAGAAACTAAAATATATTGTTCATTAATTTTTGTTGGGAACATATACATAAAAAGTGTAACGCCCCAAAACATGGTCTAAAAGTTATTCTATAATAAAAGTAGTTTAAAAACAATATTTTGACCCAACAAAACATTATTTCTATGTTTGACCAAAAATGAAGGAATTTTTGGAGTCAATGATTTTTTTGTTAAAATTGAGTTTTATGGGTAAGTCTCGAAGAGACAAATCCAACGGTATATTTTATAAATAAATTTGATGTGCAGATTTTGAGTTGTGATATTTTAAATATGTAATTTGATATTTTAAATATGTAATTTGCATAAAAACGAGAAGTGGTTAAAGATGAGAACTTTTGTAAAATGAGCTATTGAAATAAATTATTCAAAATGAATAATAATGATTGAATATGAGAATATTTTTACTTATATGTCAATTGATTTAATTTTGACTCTTTCAATGTCAACACCCTAAAAAAAAGATGTCAGAATAAGTATTTTAAAAAAAATGTGAAAGTTATATTGTCACGTAGAGATTGACTGTCTCACCACAATATTATAATCACATTTCAATTTGGAGAAAGTTGTACCAAAGATTGTATCCCAACTGAGATAAAAATCAGTCATAATCAATGAGAGGCGTGTAAAACCTCCCAGGATCACATGAAAATCACAGACAGGTCTCCACTCAGCCGAAACAAGGATTTGGAGCAGTGATATTTTTGTTTCATTTCTTTCTTCTTGCCTATATAAGAAACATTTGTTCTCCTTCATCCCTACACCAAACCTCTTCATTCTTCTTCTATTCTACTCCTTGTTGTGTGGAGAACAATCCGCAAGTGATCGCTTCCGTTAAAGTCACCGGAGGTAGCCACGGTTCTTGCCGGAAGTTACCCCGGAAAGTTGAAAGAAGAAAACATCCCCTGTGCAAATCAGCCCACTTGTGAGCACTTTTACACCCTCTAAACGTCATTATTTTAATCTGGTTTCTAAACGAAAGTTGTAGCCTTATGTCTTACGAAACCATAGCTTCAAACGGTTCGCGATTTCGTTGAGTAACGAAAGAGATATCGCCCGAAAACCGGGGCCGGTACAGTGGTGACGGGAAGCAGCGAGTTTTATGATTTCCAACGTTGTTTTCGCTCGCGTTCGTTCATTGAGCTTCATATCGTCGATTTCCAGGTCTGTACCATGATTTTAAACAACTTTAGAAGGCATTGGAATGACCCTTGAACTTATTGATTCATATATATATTTGAAAATATAAATATTTTGACATTCATAATGACCAAAGTTGTTTTGTTGTTAAAGCTTCAAATAAATTGTTTGTGAGTGATCTATGGATGTTGGAAAACATTTTTATGAAGTTAGTTTAAAGCTTAGAAGCTTTTATGGTGTTTTGAGAAATTGTAGCAAAGGTTGAAGATGATGAATAGTAACTCCGTTTTTCCTGCAAATGATCATTGTGAACATTTTAAAGTCCGAAAATGCTATTTTTGAATATATAAAATCCTATCTTTTGATACATCAATGAAAAGACAATTTCTTTAAAAAAAAATGATGTTTGGACAACTAAAGAACCTTATATCATTTATGGCGATAAGTTATGTGTTAACACTCAAGGTTAAGCCGTTATTTGTTATTGGATATTGTGATGATTATTATGATGTTGTTTATGATTAGACTTTGATGAATATTCTTATTAAAATAATAATTATGAATGATTAAATCATGATTAAAAATGGAAATATTGATAATTATGAAATTGATGTGTATTGTTAAGGATATCTAGAAGAACTCTAAGATATACCCACTTGGAAATTGATGATTATTATTAAGGATATCTAGAAGAACTCTAAGATATACCTCCTTGACCAATTCATGATTCGGGGTTAAAACGTACGTACGGGATCCAGACCGGATATCACCCACCCGACAGATCACTGTTCGGTTGGTACGTAATCCACGTGACTCATAGGGTGGATTATTCATTCTTGTGTTCTGCATTAAACTATTTATAGTTTAAGGGCCTAGTTAGAAATATTGCCTTAGACTAGTCATAGTTTAAGAGCTATGTTATCAATATTAATTTGACTTAGACTTAAAATAGTTTAAGAGCATTGATATAATTTAGCCTTAACTTAGAATAAGTTAGGAGCAAATTGTGATAAAATTTGATATGAAAATCATGTGTAATAAATGATGAATATTGTGATTAAAAAAAAAGTGACATGTGATTATTGTGAATTATGGACTGATTAAGTGATGATAGTTAAGATTGACTATATTCATTATCATTGTTAAAATAAAAAAATATGAATTTAAATATGAAAAAGCGAATATTTGAACATATATATGTGATGAGTATTGTTTAAGAAATTATTCCGTGAATTCTTTTGTTGTGCCATGGTACCACTCAGCTTCATTGCTGAGCGTGTAGACTTTTTTTATCTTTCTACACGTAGGTATGAGAGAGAATAAATATGGAGCCTATTTTGGAGATTACTGAGATGGAGGTAATGCGTGGACGTGCACAAAATTTACTATTTAACTAAATGATTTTATCACATGGTGACCACACTGTTGTAATTTGCAAATCGCTTCCGTACTATTTTGAATAATTTTACTCTGATGTATTATGAAATATTTAGTACAATATTTGAAATAAAGTTTTTAAATGTTTGAAATTTTTACGTTGCCAAGTTAATACTTTAGTTCAAAAGGGGCTGCAGACCTGAACGGATTAGGGTGTTACAAAAAGTATTTAAAAAAATATATAATTTTAGCTTAAAAATCAAATTTAGGAGGAGGCATTAGCCCCCAACTAATATGAATTACATCCTCCACTGTCTATCAATGGCCATTCATGCATGCACACTAAGAGCCTCCAACCCGTAGTAGAAAAAGTGATAGTGTAAAATTTATTTTAACTATCTATAGTGTTTTACACATTCACTTTTCTATACTCACTTCAACCATATCTTTTATATAATACATTTTTATAATATTTTATTATTTTAAGTTATTTATGTGTTTAATTTTTGGTTTAATTATAATCACATTTATGATGTGCATAATGTAACCAATCTATTAATAATATTTTTAGATTTTATTATTTTAAGTTATTTATGTGTTTAATTTTTGGTTTAATTATAATCACATTTATGATGTGCATAATGTAACTAATCTATTAATAATATTTTTAGTATTATTTAAAACTAAATATTGAAATAATTATTTTAGCATTTGGTTTGCACCATCTTGTATATATACAAGTTGGGAATTGTATTTTCCACTATAGTGTTTTTTAACCTTTGGTTTACACTATCCATTGGAGTCTCAAAAAATGAATAGTATATTGCATATAGTGTAAATTTTACCATATATATATAGGTTGGAGATGCTCTAATATGAATCTCCCTGTGACTTATTGCAGTTACCTTTTGTAGGCACTATTACTTCATCATCTATGTTTTTTAGAACATGATATGTTTTGAGTAATTTGTGTTTGGTTTGGCATTAAAATATATCAACTCTCCAAGTTTATGAGATTGCATATTGTGTCGGTAATACTTTAAGATGTTCTGATTTTGATCATTAAAAATAAAAAGAATTACTTAATCATTTGATTTTAATGTATACTTTGACTAAATTTGGGTGGGGGATTGAAGATTCTAATTTGCTAGAACAGCCCGTTGGAAAATAGCATTATGAATAAAAGTTAAACCGTGCAGATTAAGTTCGAAAATGTTAACGTTGTTCGTATATAGTCTTTTTAAAATCCTAGTGCTAAACTCCTAACGTTATTTCCTCACAGGACCCAAGAAGACTCCCGCACGTTTAGCACCATGGGTCTAGAGCTCCTACACTCAAAGTTTGTTTGCTCTTCTTCTTAAAAATTTAAAAATTACAATGACTCTCAATGTCCAACACTAATTCATAACCCTTTGATTGACGGAGGCATAAATTTATCTACCCCCAGAAAGCATAATCTTATCTATCTTTCTAACTTTTAGCAGGTGACATAAACTTATTTGTCTCCTTGTTACTTGTGTTCTATCTTCCTTGCTCAAAAACTTTTACGAAAGGTACACAATGCTCCCGGGTCTAAAAGAAAAAAAATGAAGTGTAGAATTAATTTTTGGACATCTAAAAAACATATATCCAGGTTCATCCATAGGCAGGTAATTAAAAATTTACTCGGTATTTAAAATTATTCCTCAAATTAATTCAACCTATTCCTATAAAAAATTTATATTTTTTAAAAAATATAATGGATAGGCCCGGCAAAAGCAGCTGTCTCACGAAGAACAATCAGGTCGGGTGCACCAGTGTAACAAAAAACATCAAATTTGCAGCATATGTTTTATTCGCAAAGACATTCTTCTTTTCTTCTTCTTCTTCGTTTTCTTTTCGGCGGGAGAGTCGTAATCGGTTCTCGAGCCCTCCATTCGGTGCGGTTACAGGCAGTCCCTCCTATGCAACAAGGTGCATATTGATACGCCGTATTTCATACGTCGTACAGCTCAAAAAGTGAGATTATTTGGTGTCTATATTAAAACGAGATCATGTAA